GTGGGTATCCTGAGGGATGTCGCGGCCTCTGCCCCAGGGTCGCCCCTCCTGGCCTTCGGGCCGCCGCAGGGACTAACAGCGGTGCAAGGAAGACTCCCCTCCTCTGACCGCATCCCCGGTCTCCCGGAGTCCGAACGGAGCCCCAGTGGCCGTGCCCTCAGGATGGGATCATCCCTCCGGAGGGGGTGACAGGAGCGCGGGTGGCTGGCGGGTGCCAGATGCCCGGGCCTTGGGAACGCGCCCCGGTGGGCGAGACAGGAGAGAACGTCAGGGCGCCCCTCCGGTCCCGCCGCTCCTCCCGATTGTTCTTCCGAAGTGTCGGCTTTCTCCTGCCAGTTCCGGGGCGAACCCCGTCCTCCTGGAGGCCGTTGAGCTCATTTAAGTGGACAGGGCTGATTTTAAGTGGACACTTGAGTAGTCCCTCTATACATTACAAGTTCTTCTCTGTTTTTTAAGTTGTTCCCCCCTGAGTCCTTCTTAACTCGGGATTGCATTTTCTTGGTTTCCTCAAAGAGTTGAGTTTTTTGTTGCCGCCGAGTCCAAGTAACAGTAAAGGTGTGTGTGTGGCTAAAGGGATGAATGTAGGTCTTTGGACAAGTCTTGCTATTTTTGTGCGTTTGTTGAAACTAGGGCTTAGTGCCTAGTTAGTGCTGCTCTCTTTTATTTGCTCAATTAACATTGATTTGTTTGCTGTGTGGTAGGTGGGTAAACTGCCCAGAGTTTTGGACATTGTTTTATTCTTTAAGCTGTGTTTAAAGCAATTTATCTCGGGCAATTTTTTTTTCTCTTAAGGAAGATGTCACTGTTTTTTTTCTTTTGCTGTCTCTTTTGGTACAGGAAGTTGATATTTAACGACAACCAATATGCAAAATGTTGAAAGCCAAAGGTGCTGTGGTGAACGTAACTTGTTTGTACTTATTGGTAAATGATGTGCACTGTATTATAGGGGAGTCATTCTTGTGCATTTTCCCCCTAATAGGATAATTTAAAATGAGGACAAAGCCAGTGTTAGTAGAAATGCAGCTATCATGCTCATCTGAGTACTTTGTGGCTTCTTTAGGAAACAAAGATCCGAGCAACATTGGGACCCAGATCATGGAAAACTAACCAGCCATCTTTTGGTAGCATGGTTCATCCCATGAGAGAAGTGGGGTTTTGCATGTCAGTGAATCGAGGTGAAATTTTCTGTTCTTTAGCATATGTAAAGCTGTTTTAAGCTTTGTGTTTATAATTAGTAAAATGTTGGCTTATTATAAAAATGTATATTGATATTAACTTGAAATTGGATATTGAAATGATTTGGATGGTAGGCAGTTGGATTTTCTTTGGACCTCTTAGTTTGATAAACAGATTTCCTTCCCACCTCAAGGAAATATTGTTAAACCATTTCATTGCCCCTTGCAACACAAAATGGACTGTATTTGGCATGTATGTTTCTTAAGAAACTTTTTTTAAATCTTCTGGGCAACTATTGGGGAAAATTATGAATTTTTCTTTTAAGAAAAGTCTTTTTTTTTGGTCTTGGAAATGTTTTTGTCAAATTAATTTGCTCCTCTTTGGTATATTTTAAAAAATTTAAATTTGATTTTTCTTCTTGGCATGAAGTGCAAACTAAAATTAGGCCAAGAAAGTATTCCAGGAGCACCTTTTCCGAGACTTTAAAGCCAAAGTAAAAGTTTCTGTGAGGAAGGAAAGTAATCATTGGGGCCACTTAATGATCATATGGAAAAGATTTGTTCTGGTTGAAAAGACAGAAACTCACTGTGTTTTCGACTGACTAGAAGTTGGAGGTACTAAATAAAATAAATGCATAGGATATTCTAGATCTAATCATGATTTCTCTATACCTAAATTGGAAGTGGTCAAATCACTAGTACTGAATCAAATTAATATAACTGTTTTGAAGGAATAAGGATAAATATAAAAGTGAGTAAACAAAGTATAACCTTTCTTGAAAAAGCGGTCATGTGATTCTCATCCACAATAAAGGTTTCAGAGCTGATCATAGAAGATACAGATTCCATATCTGGCTAAGTGGAAGACTGAATGATAAAAAGCAGGTTTATTGAATATTTAAACTTAAGTACTTAGGCTGGTGATAGGTTCTATAACTTGAAGATTGTCAGATCTCTTAGATCAGCGGTTCTCAACCTGTGGGTCGCGACCCCTTTGACAGTCGAACGACCCTTTCACAGGGGTCACCTAAGACCATCCTGCAGATCAGATATTTACATTACGATTCATAACAGTAGCAACATTACAGTTATGAAGTAGCAACGAAAATAATTTTATGGTTGGGTCACAACATGAGGAACTGTATTTAAAGAGCCAGAAGTTTGAGAACCACTGTCTTAGATGGTTCTTAAAAGGGACATGTAAGCAAAGAAATTGCATGTTGAGTTGGTGTTCAGTTTTCTTACTGAGGAACTTAAGACAGTTACCATGGTAAGGGTTGGGAGAATGCTAGTGTCTATCTCAGAGATGCAATACAAAGAATTGTGTAATTCCATGGTAAGGGTTGGGAGAATACTAGTGTCTATCTCAGAGATGCAATACAAAGAATTGTGTAATTCCATAGTAACCACTTTTATGAATTAATAGTTGGTATAATCTTTATAGAATTCACTTTTTTGTTTAATCTAAGCCATCCCTGAGTTTTTTGTATAAAAGGCTACCTGCTCTGCAAAGTTGTACCTCTGTCTGAAATGCCTCCATAAAGCTTCAAAGAATTCTCCCTTGCTTTTTTCCAATATTTGTTGAAGAACATTTCATAAATTCTCGTTCAGCCTTCGTCTGATTTTATAATTGTCATCATATATTGTGGTCTTTATCTTTCCATACATACTTGTCTCTAACCTTTTGCATGTTTTATTGATCATTCTGTTTACTTGAATTGTTTGGTTTTGCATTGTATCTTTCTTCAGGTAATACAAGGAAAACTGAACATAGTACAGGACTTTGATACACACCATGACTTTATAAGGGACCAGAAGAGTGTTTTTAAGACTGTTTTTGATAATGCCTTACATTTTGTTGGTCATTTTGGCCACAGAATCACAGTCTCTTGTGTATTCTGAAAATAGTCTGTAACAGTGCTGTCCAGTAGAAATAAAATGCTCAGAAATATGAGCCACAAAATACATTTTAAAAAATTTTTTTAAAATATTTTTATTGAGTGCAGAGAGGAAGGGAGAGGAAGAGATAGAAACATCAATGATGAGAGAGAATCATTGATAGGCTGCCTCCTGCACTCCCCCTACTGGGGATCAGCCCACAACCCTGGCATGTGCCCTTGACTGGAATCAAACCTATTCGCATGCTGACGCTCTATCCACTGAGCAAAACTGGCTAGAGCGCAAAATACATTTTTTAAAAAGTGAAAAAGAAACAGATGAAATTAATTTTAGTACTATTTAACCTAATTTCAACATGTAATTAATATAAAATTACTGATGTAATATTTTCCTTTTTTTGTACTAAGTCAATGAAATATGGTGTATATTTTACAGTTATGACATGTTCCAATTAAAACCAGTCACATTTCAGGTGCTCAATAGCTACATGTGACTGCAAGTATCTAATGGGATAGTGCATACCTCTAACAACTCCCCAGCCCATTTCCTAGAATTGCAGAGCTGAGAGAGAATCAGAGTTCATCTAATTCTGTACCCTTCTCATTTTACTGAAGAGGTACTCAGCTTTGTAGCGTTTATGCTTTGTCTGAGGTTGTCTAACTAAGCTATGAATTAGGTTGGAAAGCCTCCTTGTGCAGAGTTCTTTCTGATACAGTTAATAGCCTTTTTAAGATGAGAAATAGCTTGCTTTTCTAGATATGTCTTCCACTTCATCACCTTTTTTTTCTTAATCTTCCATTCTAAGCATGTTGGACTGCTGTCTTCTGACAACATGCTCTGTAATTCCTTGCCTCTTTGCTTCTTTTCAGTCAGTTTTTATCACCTATTTAATATGTACATAACACATATATTACATTAATTAAAACTCTGTGGATTGGGTACTAATATTTGCCTTGTTTTACAAACAGGTAACTAAAGCACAGACACATTAACTTTCCAAAGTCATGCAGCTAGTACGTAAATGGATGAGCTAGGATTCAAACCTAGGCAAGTCTGACTTTAGGATTCATGTCCGTAGTAACTACCACTTATGCTTCCTCTATGCAATACCCTTCATGCCTCTTTTGAGCTTTAGCTCAGATGCCACTTTCTCCATGCAGAGTTCCTGGATTCCATAGTCAGAATTATTAGTAATGATTAGAATTTACATAGCTACTTACAGTCTTCTGAGCACCTTCATGCCCAGTCTGTCATTTACACAATCCTTGTGATAGGCAGAGTAGGTACCAAAGCCAGGAATTGATGAGGTTTAGGTGATTTTTACCTCAGTTACTCAGCAGAGTACGTACATGCCTGAATTTAACTGCTAATAAAAATTCCCATTCTTGCGTGGCCAGCATGGCTCAGTGGTTGAGCTTCGACCCAGGAACCAAGAAATCACTGGTTCAGTTCCGGGTCAGGGCACATGCCCAGGTTGCAGGCTCAATCCCAATTAGGAGGCAGCCAATAAATGATATTTCTATGTCCTCAGGGTTTCTATCTCTATCCCTCTCCCTTCCTCTCTCACTAAAAATCAATAAAAACATATATTTTTTTAAATTCCCATTCTTTCTTTTCTATATTGACCTTTTCCCTATAGCACTTTTACTCCATTTTACCACTTACAGTATTCTGTCTTGTCTGATAGCAAATGTGTCCATCTCCACTATTAGAATACAAGCTTCTTGAGGGCCAGGGTCATATCTTTATTACATTCTCTACAGTATTAGAACAT